CCATCAACGATTTGGATAGTGATTCCATGGCATGTGGTGAGTTTTCTTCTAGGTTGAGATCTTCTGTGTTGAAATGTGTTGAAGTGTGCTGATGATGGGGATAGGATTTAATGGGACTCGAGGAGTCGAGCGCGTCTGCGCGGTTAATCAGACGGCGAAATTGAGCTTCTTGTTTCGAGAGTATGCGGATGCTTCCCAGGAGGGCGCCATCGATCCGAATCATAAGGGTCCTTGTGCGGTGTATATGAAGCGTGTGGCTTCGGCTATTAATGATACGGCCGTGGGATCTGGTATGTGTTTTTTACTTTATTCTATTTTTTCTTGGATTTCTGAAAGCGACAAGCCTAGGGTTGTATGACTGCGTGTCTTTTTGTTGATATATTTCTCAGTAAAATTAACTTGTCTATAGGCTGGTTCAAAATCTGGGACGAAGGCTACGACAACAGCACACAGAAATGGTGCACCGAGAAGCTTATCCAAAACAATGGCTATCTCTCCGTCAACATCCCCAGTGATCTAGCAGGTGGATACTACCTCGCTCGACCCGAACTTCTCGCCCTCCATCAAGCCGACAAGACCCCTCCAAACCCTCAATTCTACACCGGCTGTGCACAAATCTATCTCGATTCCTCCAAAACCGCCGTTCCGAAAGATACAGTCAGTATCCCCGGCTACGTCAACATCCACTCCCCATCCGTCCTCTACAACATCTGGAATCCCCCGCCTACACCCTACATCATGGCAGGACCCGCTCCCTACCAACCCGGCGTCTCCAGCACCTCCAACACCACCGGTAGCAAGGCCGCAAAATTCTCAGCCTTCACTGCGACGCAGAATGAAGGGCTTCTACCGCAAGATGCGGCACTCACGAATGCGAATTGGTGGGGCGTCGAAGTCGCTGCGTATACCACTGAAGCAGGGTGCTGGGACGCGAGCGAGAATTGCTGGAATCAGACGACGGTTTGCTATGATTGTGCGCCGCCGACGGGGGATAAGGGGTGTAGAGCGTGGGAAGCGCATTGTGCGGAGATTCAGAAAGGGTGTGAGGGGGGAGATTTTACAGGGCCGCCTGTGCTTGTCAAGATGCAGGGGACGGTGGCAACGGCGACGATTGCGCCGGTGGCGGAACAGACAGGGGGTGTATATGCGGCGGGTTCGACGGTGGTGAGCGCAGGGAGTTTGGGAGTGAGCGAGGATGGGAAGTGTGGTGATGGGAATGGCCAGACCTGTAAGGGGAGTGTGTTTGGAGAGTGTTGTAGTCAGGTGGGATACTGTGGGAGGAGCGAGACTTATTGTGGGGTGGGGTGTCAGGGGGACTTTGGAGTTTGTGGTTGAGTTTTGTTTGATTGGGGTGGGGAGAGGAGGAGGGGAGAAGAGGTGAGGTCGGGTGAGAAGGCGAGATGAGAATTATATGATGGACTGAGCTTCAACAAACTGGGAGAAATTTGTAGTGGAACATGACATGGAATGGCAGGTTTGGGGCGAGAGAGGCGGCAAGGGGAATGATATCCTACAACGACTATTCCATGCAATCTTGAGGGAATTTTTCATTACATATGCGTTTACATTTGCAATAGGCCTGGGTCTTATTTCAAGTTCAAGCCTACTGATACACGAGACGCAATCTGAAAGAAAGAAAGGATAAGATAAGATAGGATAGGATAGATCGAGCAGGTTTTGATACTTTTTCCTATGCATATGATGAAGAAGTTCAGATGGAGATTCAGATGGAGGTGGAGATGAAGAATATTCTATTCTATTCTGTACATGTTTTCCATATCCGCTTTGGATTCTAGATCTTAAATCCCTGATCAGAAATATCAAATACTAAATTCCAATTCCCAATTCCCAATTCCGAAATACAAAGATAGATGAACACAGAAAATCCCAAACAAAAATACATCCATCCATCTACTACGCAGATGAATACTCAATACTCGATGCTCGTTTGCTCAAGTAAATCAATCTTCATATTTATAATGATATTGATATTTATATTGATATTTATATTTGTATTTATATTCATACCTATTTATAACTCTTCAATTCTCGATTTCCAAATACTCTAATACTAATGATCAGAACAGGAACAGAGTATGCCGATATGTGTATCTATGTATGTAAGTATGTATCACAGAAATGTACCACACATATCTATCCCAGTAAACGCGCTCTTTGAATCTAGGAACTCATCTAGGAACTCATACCTTTATTATTATCATCATAATAATCAATATTATTAAAATCACAATCAAAAATAGAATACGCGCAGCATCTTTACCCCCGAGTCTCCCCATCCACATCACAAAACCAATATTATCTCTCAAATAGGAACTACCTACCCACTCCCCCCCTTTCCAAATCGAAGTTACAAGCTCCAAAATCAATTTCATCTCATCTAATCTCATATCACTTCTATGACTCCAAATAATTTATCTCATATTCGCAACATTCAGTAGAATTACACGTCGAGGAATATCTCATGTCAGAAATCATGCGAACGCGAATATATAAGTTCTGCGCTGTGCAGCACTTAACATCACTGTATCAAATGCTATACTGTAGAGCCACGATGTGCAAAGAATATTGAATTGCGTTCTATGCATCTATCATCAGAGTATAGCATGAAGCGTATTACCACAAGAACATCAACACATCTTCCTTTAATCTTTCGCCCTGCGTGCCAATGAGAATGACCAAATTGGTACGCCGGTCTTCAACCTCATATGGCCATACAAATTGATACAATCGTGCTTTACTCGAAGATGGCCACAATGAAATGAAGCCGGTTCGCGCTTCTTCTCATCTCTCTAACTTTGGTAACACTCTCGATTGATGCAATAGATACCAACTCCGCCAACACTCTGGCCAGCCGGGTATCATACTCCAGCGGATGATTTTATTCTTTAGTACCAAAAGAGACAGTGAGAGGAAGCATCATCCTGTGTCTTGGTCTCATGTTCGGAGTATCAATTGCCATGAAAGAAAAAAGTTTGTACTAGATAGTATCTCTGTAAGGGCCTGGCGCTGAAAAGAAAGCTCGAAGGGAGAAGTTGAGGCTACCAATCCTATACGCCATATATGTCCTGAAATAAACTTTTTCAAGGTGTGCGAGGTAGATTGAGAGTTGAGCGACTTGATATCCCTCGTCTCCTCTGACTTATGTGTCGCGATGTTTTCTATTGTATGCCACGATTGCCGATCGAGTATATTGTTGTCTATCTCTAGCTTGGCACTATGCTGTACGTCTTTCGGTCGGCCTTTGATCCATTTCAACGTGGCCCAGTGAGGAACGATCAGTGTAGTGACTCGAATTTTTGTGTTTTAATCTATCATGAATCAAGGCTTACCCAACAACCGCAGATTTAACAGCAAAGCTGCCTGTGACATCCGATATAAGCTTTCCAGTGGGCTAGTTGAGGGAGAACCGTCGGAGGCTGCTTTTTGATGTTCTTGTATTCCATAATGGTCCTGTGTTCACAAGCCACAACCATTTTCGATTAGCACCAACCCCCAAATCTTTATATATCCATATCATTGACTGGGAGGCGTAAATCTTTTGTTGAGTGCGTTCGTCTTCATCACTTTGAGATGATTTGCTTCATAGCAAAATCAATAATCTTTTACTTTGAAATATCCGAATAACAAATGCTCTATACAGATATTAGTCAGATGATTCGCATTTCCCTTCGAAAGAGATCTGTTTTTTGGGGTTCGAGATTTACGTGCAGAAGAGGATAGGAGAAATGTCACATTGTTATCCTTGGGGTTGTTCTTGATGGCGGTCGAGTCTGAGTCTGAGAGCTCGTTTTGCTGTTTATTTGGTCCTTGTATGTCCGTATGTATTGTAGAGGGTGAAGTGGGTGGAGAGAAAGGAGGAAGAGGATTGTTTTTGATATCTTTTTTCTTATAAACTTTGGTTTTTGGATCTCTTGAGGTAGTTGTATTCAAAGGATTTTTTGGAGTACGTTCAGGCTTATGTATAAATAAAACTGATAAAATTATTTAAAGTAAAATTGGATTATGCCATCTTTATTGTTGTTTAGAAATTATAGTTAGGTAGATAAATAAGTGATTGTAATACAGTACGGTTGATTAATTTATTTTAGATATATAAAAAGTTGGGACGAGAATGTCTCTCGGAGGAAAAGTTATATATCTATATGGTCTAGATGAGTAAATAATTTGTTTTAAAATTTACTATAATTCATTATTTATTTAGATATAACGTAATTTAACATCGAGTGGGCTATATCACTGAATGGGCCACTTCAAAATACATTAAAATTAATTCTTTTTTAATATTTGTATTTTAATAATCAATTATTAATTTTTGAAAGAAAATTAATATAAAATTGTATGAACAAGAGTATTCACTTCAAAGGAATGACTTCAATACAATAGCTACTATATCAAAGGGATTAGGCGAATGCGAAAGAGATTAGCTCTTTCAGTAGTGTCTATATAATAAGGCCTACTACTTTCCCATTTAGCTAGCTCTTTAGATAGAATACAATTAGACATATAGGACCTATAATACGTGGGTGCTACATCTTTTGTATCCTTCTCGAACCAACAAAAATAATAATGAAAATTTAACTCTTTATAAATTTAGTTTTGATATAAAGATTTCTTTTATATTCTAAAAAAAAAGTAGAAATAGTTACAATTTTCATTATAAAAGAAATATTTCTATAATAATTATTATAACAATTTGAATTTCGAATAAATAATTAGATTCTTATATTATTTATATAGTTAAATTTTATAATTTCAATTTTTAGAAAATTCTATCTATAAATAAAGAAAGTATACGATTACATATAAACAAATTTTATGTGTAAAAATAATGGCCCACTTAGTAATATAGCTCACTCGGTGTTAAACTACGTTATTTAAATATATGTAAATTCACTATGATGTCATCAATTCGTTACCTACTGCCTGTCACCATACGAAGAAAAAGAAGATATAGTTTGTTTATACTAATACTGATACGGATGGTATGTCGATCATAATATATTTGAGTATTTATACTAATCAAGTAATACAGGTGGTGTTATCAATAACGATATTCTTGATTCTGCTCGTACCTCTAGTCAAGTAAATCACAAGGATGATACTGAGGTTGGAGCCCAAAATCAAGCTCATTCGGGTGAAATTGAGCAGAAACGTCACGAGAAAGAAACAGTGATTTGCGAGGATGAGTTGCAAAGAGCTTTGATGAAGGAATATGAAGATATGGACAACAACAGGTCTGATGCTGAGGTTGAGGTTCACGTTCAAGCCTATCCGGGTGAGGGTGAACAACAACATCATGAAAACGCAACACTATTCGAAAAGGATGAGCATAATTCAGAATCAGGTAAAATTTCAATTATACCAGAAATTCGTACATCTCTAAAGTGCCTCAAACGAAAGCAGGAGGATGTAGAGCATGATGCAAAGAAGCTGGAGGATGAAGAAAGGGAGATGGAAACTGTGTTGGCGATGAAAATTGATCAAGTTTCTGATAATCTCACTAATCAGATCGAAAAGATGAAGTGGTTGGTTGGAAAAAAACGAGAGTTACAAGCAAGCCGGGATAGACGTCATAAGAGTTGAGCAGAGAGTAGAAAGGGTGGAAAGTAGTATAGCAAGAGACCCGAAGCCTCATGTTTCCCATTTGTAAGATCTTACAATCATAACTCGAAAGCTTCTCACCTCGATAGTATTTGGACATATACCTACTTGAATACACTTTTAGGATCTATTCATTCATTAGCTACCTTTTACTTCTGTCTTAACATATCGAGGAGTTTGTATTTTGTGATTATGATACGCGATTCTGGCGTGATTTAAACTGTAAGAACGACCATGTCAAGCAGATCAGATTGATTTCGACTCCATATAATAATCGGAAATCTAAGAAAGTCCAATGCCTAATATATCCCTAATTATTGAAAGATTATGTGATAGACACCTCGAGGCCATCTTCCGTTGTGCATTTCTTGTATTACAACTGTGCCCTCGGATATATGGGCAGGGGTAAGCGTAACATTGAAGGAGTATAGGAGGCAAACATATCATTTACACTGGACTTGATAAAGCTTGTATGGGGGAAGGGATCGATTTACTAATATCTCAATTGAAAATTAATACTCTTTCAATACGGATCCCCTCTCTGTTGGTTTGAGAAAGATACGAATAACGTAGCACCTACGATCTGTAGGGTCCTAAGTGTCAATATTGTATTTTGTCTATAAAGCGCTAGTTATTATTGTAGGTAGATAGTAGGCTTTGAATAAGGGCTACTGAAAGAGCTATTCTCTTCCGAATTCGCTTAGGGTTAATACAGTGGTTATTGAATTGAAGTCACTCACCTACGTTCATACACTTTGTAAAGCGTATTCCCTATAGTGATGTAGATTTACTAGATTCTATGTAGACAGTCCCTCCATATCCACAGTAATCACCTGAGTCGTACTGCACCCTTTCGATTTTTACTCAAGGTTGTTATAAGGTACGGTCTGTTAAAAAATTCAGTTGTGAGTGGTTGATTTTGATAGAAGTTGTGTCCTTTCTTGATCTAAGTTTGAAATTAGTGTAAACTAATACAGCTCATCTTGTAAAAACGATTCACTTACAAGTCTGGATAGTTTACAGTAGCAAAAAATTGATTCTATAAATTTAGAAAGAAAGTTGTAAACATCAGGTGACCTCCAGACAACTTTTTTGAATACCATACTTCATCGACGCTAAGTGTTCATTATTCTTACTACTGTTAGGTATGTCTTATATAACCAACAATGATGATCATGGTTGAACAAACAAATCTCAAACTCATTCTATCAAAACAACTTTGTTACCTTGTATTTCATTAACTTAATACGACATCATGCTTACTAACACTTCCAAGTCATCAAATTCGAATCCAATTTTAGAGATCTATAATCCGAATTCGGAATATCAATCTGATAGCGACGATATGGTCAACGTTAGGGAACTCACTGCAGAGCATCGACAAGAAATAGCTCAAGCACGTGCAGACCATCGTCAAGAACTCGCTCAAGCTCGACAAGAAATATCTCAAGCACGTGCAGACCATCGTCAAGAACTCGCTCAAGCTCGACAAGAAATATCTCAAGCACGTCAGGAACTCACTGCAGAGCATCGACAAGAAATATCTCAAGCACGTGCAGACCATCGTCAAGAACTCGCTCAAGCTCGACAAGAAATATCTCAAGCTGATCAAATACTCATAACAACTCACGCAAAAGTTGCTACACTCGAAGAAAAGCTCATTCATAAAGTTTCCCATAACGAGGAACTAAACAATCAACTAAATGAGTGTAATGCGAGCCTGTTGCTGCTCAGAGAGGAGGGTGTTGGACGCCAAGTCCAGGCTCGAGATAATCAAATCCAAAAGCTCAAGAGACATATTCAAAGTATGTACATTTTATCGGCAGGTCTTGCCTTCTTCCTAGGTCTTGCCTTGCTCCTGTTAGCACGTGTTTTGTCAGGGGAAAATTAAATCGTTGCACGTAGGTAAGTTTTTCAGAGGAAAAAAAAGGTGTCAAATTTCTAATGTTATTTCAGGATTAATTTCAACAAGCCGGTATATTCTCAAAAAATCGAGTTTATTACTTTTTCTCCAAAAGTAAGTGATCATAAAAGGATTATTTACGAGAGGAGTACACACCTAGACATAGCACTTTTCTGAGTTGCTAGTGTTGCATCAGCCCTTGTAGCTCTGAAATTAGAATGCATATAAACAATACAACACAATAAATTAAACCTATTGTTCACAATGAAGGAGCAGGCCAGTGGAATGCATGTATTATTGACTATGTAGATTAATTGTACTAAGGTAAAATCTAACTACAAAGTGGAAGTGATATATGCACAGTAGCTTAACGCACGTGTCACAGACTTCATTGTTACCACTAAGATGATCCCAACAACAACTTGATTAAAAAGAAAGGGTTGATACAATAGCAGCTGGTTGCGACATGCTTTGCCGTATATTTCATTAATTCTTGGCATGCCTGATGTTGGAAGATAACTCTACAATTTACAAAGGAAAATTTATTCACAGAGCCCTTCATGTATCTTCTTATTAACCATCCTTTGACAAATGAAATCTAACATCCTCCATTCTCTCATCTATCACATTAGCCCTGATATCTATCAAGCGGCTTCCGCCATGATCTGTTCACCCTCATCCAACATCTCAGTAATTTTACCCAGGTTCTGAATCATGCTACGACCCTGTCCTACCAACAACAATTTCTCCGCATTAGCCGGCAGACCCAAATAAGTAGGAGGTTCACGCTCGGGTAATTTCTTAACCCATTCTGTGAAATCTTTCATTGTAGTTCCGCTTGGTACGACTAGGTTTCCAGTCTCGGATTCATCACCTGCAACACCTTGGACCAATTTATGACCGATGTCATAGGCGGCTGGAGTCATGAAAGAGTGGACAAGTTGTGTGAGACGTGCGAAATCTCCTTCGTCGTCAATTTTACCACCGTATGTCTCCACGATAAGTGTGCGAAGCATATCCCAAGGGAGGTTTTGTGGGGCCACATTAGATCGTCCTGCAGCTACTGTTTCCACCCAGGTATCGATGATATACGCAGAACATTCATACTATAAGAAGTTAGCAGAGTTAAAGGAAATTGGGTATGGTAGACTTACATCACTATCGTTGAACTCCCAGAACCCTTTCCATCCAAGACTAGGAGCATATCTCAAACGCTCTTGAACGACAGCGTGCAAGAAAGACAAGAGAAGATACAATCTCGTCCTCTCTACAGGAGTCTTTGTACCTCTGGTAGAAAGCGAAGCCATAGAATCCTTCATATTGGCTCTGACACCCGCTGGTTGCTCGTACATCAATACTCTGGATGCCCGCAACAAATTGACAGGAATCTTAGGACTGGATTCCATTGATAAGAACAACCTAAAGTTTGCATGGGGTTTGAGTGAATCCATTCGTTTCTCCAGACTCTGCAGCCAGGTTGGTGCCAAGTGAACGTTCTTGACAAGGACCCATGATCCATTGGCAGCTGCATTACTGATAGCCTTATCAGCGGTTGCTAACCCTTCATTAGAACCCATAGCAATGTTGGTACACGCGGCTCGTGATTGCTCCACGAGGTTCTCAACTTTGTAACTAGCATCAAACCCAGGGCTTGAGCAAAGTGCAATTGGACGGCTTGCAGAGACTTGTTCGACAATCTGCTTAAGGTCCTCAGTGATGTCAAGGAGGCCATTGCCAAATACTGCAGTAACGAATCGCTCAGCGGCAGGAACAAATCGATCAAGCCGGAAAAGCTTGATGAGCAATAAGGATATAAGCTCTTGATCTCTCTTTTCCAAATTATCATCCCAGACTTGAGGAGCGAAGTTTTCTGCCAGTTCCTCGGATAAGAAACGATCCCAAGCTTCAGAAGACACACCCTCAAGTTTGCCCTTGAAAGCAGGAAGTTTAATTGCATTGCCCATGACTTCATCCTTCATGTCACCATCTGTTGACAAATCAGTGCCAACCACAGTCTCATCTAGAATGACGTCAATAAGACTCTTGTCCATCTTGTATGGAGCTGCTTGGGCGAGAAGCATTGCTAAGGTAATCTTGTCTTTCTGGAGTAGTCCCAGGGATGTACGCTGATAGGCGGTGACAAACAAGTCTTCCACGATAATATCGCGACGTCTATCATGGTTCGTCTCTGATTCTAGTCGCTTATTACCCTTTAGCACAGAGTGGAAAATGTCGAGGAAGTACTGTAGAGAAAATTGATAGAAGTGGTTGAGGTAGTGTAATTGTTCAAGAACGGCGAAAATGGCACTGCAAGAGCGTGCGATTATATTGTACTGCAGTGTAATCTCATCAACCTCAGCCATTACACCTTCAGTGTTACCCATCTTCACAGAGATTTCTGCAGCTTCCTTCTTCAAGGTCTCAAGAGTTTCAATAACGTTGTCATCATCAAGAATATTGCCACGTGATTCGTTCAAGGCTTGCAGCAAGCGCTTCTCGAGCTGCCTAAGATGAACCTTGAATTCGCCTTGTAACTTGATAAGATTAGAGCGTCTCTCGTCCACATCAGGTCGTTCAGATTTGAGGACGTCATTGAGCGACTGTGTTTGCAAACTACTCTGTGTGACTGTGAAATTGACAAATGTCGTGCGACTGCAAATATCCGGTGCGAATGTTGCAGATGGATCTCTAGTGGAAAGGTAAATCTTGAATGCGGGCGAGAAATCGATTTCTTGCTTTCCAAGCTGGATGAGGACACGCCCACCAGTCTTCTGATATTCTTTGTTGAGAACGTGGTTAAGAATTGGGTCCAGGTATTCAGCATCTTGGATAAGAATAGGATTTCCAAAACGGAGGGAGCTTTCTAATTGTTTAGTGAAAGAGTCATCCAAGAAACTAGTGACGGTAAGCTTTCTGTCCTTGCTCTGCTTCTGTAAGAACTCTGTAGCGCGACCAGAAGGATCAATAATCAATGGATATCTATTGAAGCGTTTCAATATGATAGCGTTTTCAGTACAAAGGTCATCCACTGGTAGAGTGTCTTGTTGCCATCCAAGTCGCTCATCGGCGCTTGAGAGATATTCAGTGACTGGGTTATGTTGTTTGTAATTGACTCCAGACAAATGGAGTTGATGTAACCAGTCTTCCATCATGTTCTTTCGGTATTGCTGATCATAGAGACCACTGTATGCAAGAAAAGCGGCGGCAACAAGGACGTCACCCACAAGTGTGCTGATTTGTGTCTCGAACGATTTGCTTCCCTCTTCCCAGCGTATTCGTTCAGAAGAAAGACTGTCAAGCAATCGAACACTGCGATCAACCTTGAATTGAACCTTTGACATCTCAGACTTGATAGCCTGTGTTTCACTGATCAGAGCTGCATATTCTGTCTTGTAAGTTGCAATACTTTGTTCCAATGTGTTGATAGTGTTCTCAATGGCTTGGGCCTCAGCTTTAGTTTGTAGAGCTTGTTCCTCGAGCAACCCAACCTCTTCTCTCAGTGGTCCTACACGATCAAGAATTTCAGAGTAGTTGACTTGAGCCTGAACCCATTGAACAAGCGGTCCACAAGCTTTACTGGCACGGTTAACTTTTTCGTATGTGAAATCATCGTTTGAAAGAAACTCGTTGCGCATCTTTACACGCAGATTCTTTGTCATCTGCCTCTCGTTGTCATAGTTGACAATGCTGGCAATGAAGTCATCTTTTCTGATAATACCCTGTACTGTCTTCCAACTCTCGATCTTATGGCCAAGGAGAGTGCAGACTGAGTCCAGAGCAAGTTTGACACCCTGAGGTGGGTTACCCATGGAACGAACCTCAGTTAGATGTTGTCGCTTGATGTTGCTAACACTCTTTTGAGCTTCGATAACAGCAGGCTCGGCGTTGGCCAAATCGTTGAGTACAACCTCACGACGTTCAGCGACTTCCTTTTCCTGTATCTCTAGAGCAGCTTGAATTTCGAGTGAAGTCGTTTTACGTTGCTCAGCCTCTCTTTGGTCCGCTACCATGCGCTGCAATTTCTCATTGGCTTCTGCATCTTTGCGTTCCAATTGACCTTTCTTGTCTGCCAAGCTAACTCTAAGATCGCGCACTTTATCGACAGTATCTCTGAGCTTTTCCAAACCGACATTAAGATGTCTTTGCTGCTCCTCGAGATCATCTCGTTTCTCCGTGTACAGTTTGACGTATTGAGCCACGAAGTCTAAGAAGTGTCTAGGTGTGAGGAATGTTACTTTGCCTTGCTGCTTAAATAATTTGACATTGAATCGGTGTAGTGAGTAATGAATGTACACCATTGAATTGATAATCGTCTCTCTATGATTTGCTGGCAAGCTAAGGTCTCGATATGCAACTGGAATGCTGTCTGGTGCTGTGAAGTTTGGTCGATCAAGATCAACAGATTGAGTCAGTTCTGTGCCTACTTGGAACAGTGCTTGATCAGACCAATCTCCAAACCAATTCAGTACACAACGATTGAAGAGAGCAGGACTAGTTGCAGCCTTAGAAGATAAGCCATCTTCAGGAGGGTTCATGGTGAAGACAACGTGCAGATTCTTCACAATTTGTCCGGTGAACCATTTGTAAAGCTCTTCTTGGGAATCCAATAGGAGTCCTTGACGCTGGGCACCTTCTTTGCAGGCTGTCATCAACGATGCGAATTCGTCGCCTTCGAAAAGACCTGGAACTTCAGCATTGGCTAGCAGAGTGTTCATTCTTTCCAAGAAACCGGAGTCGAGGACATTTGATTCGTCCATAATGAAACATATCTTTTCTCCCTTACAGCCACATCGACGTAGTACATCACGTAGATCGTCATCGAAGTCTTCAGCGGAATATTTACCATGAACCTTGATTTGGAAGACTCTGAGACCATTCATCCAAGCAACAAATCGAGACAGCGTTGTCTTACCACTTCCACTGACTCCTATAAGAATCAAGTGACCTTGCGGTTGTCTGAAAACACGATCAATACGAAGTACGTGCTC